AGGAACATATTCAAGTTCATAAATATATGTGCATGGCATCCATTTGCGAAAGAGTGGTGTTAGGGGCACACCACCCACCACAATCCCAACCACACTCCCCCCTCTCAATGCTACAGTCAACCGGACCCCACATGGGATTTTAAAAAATTTAAAATCCCATGTGGGGCCCGGTTTACTATAGCAATGAGAGGGGGGAGTGTGGTTGGGGTTGTGGTGCGTGGTGTGCCTCTAACATTATTTTTTGAGAAAATTGCAGAGCTAAGGGGGCTAGGGGTGGCCAGCTTCTTACAAACACATATATCTAGCGTATATCTATAGACATTTTTATTCCCATAGTAACCCCCTAATTAAATCTATCATTTTTCTAGCTTGTTACTCCCCCAACTTTTCATATCTGAAATTAGTTCCCCAAATTGTTTGAAATGTTATGGAAATAAGTGCCTTTCTTATATATTTACCATCTAAATTGTCAACCACGATTGGACGATTGTTAACTCGAATGAGTAATTCCTAATCAAATTAACCAAAATCAATATCAAAATCCACCAAAATAATATTCAAAATCGATGGATTTAAGTTTGATATCAAAATCCCCAATTTGCGCTCCAGTGGAGCCTTTTTTGGGGGTTTTATTTAAATGCATATAACTATAATGGAATATTCCCGGACTCTAACTAGAGGGACTAATTTAAAATCCCATAAGGGGGGTTAGTCACCTAGAACTTTTTAAGTAGAACTAGGATAATTGGTAAAGTGGGATAATATTTTGACACTAGGATAATTTAGTGGAACAATGATGGGTAATTCTTAAAGTGGGATAATTTGGTAGGATAATTTGGTGGGATAATGATGGATGATATTATGAAGTTGTATAATTTAGTAGGATAATTTGGTGGGGGTAATGGTGGGTATAAATTACTATTGTTAATAATTGTATATTAAAAATAATATAATATTGATAAGCAAATTCTAGTAATAACTATAAAATATAATGCAATAAAGCATCACTATTCATCTCAAATAATAAAATAATTTACAAATAAATAAAAATCTAAATCCCTAGAGTGACTCGACTTCCATCATCCCACATGGCTTCTATCATCCCACATGGCATCTGCCATAGAATTTCTCCAAGCTCCTACAGCTGTTCGTTGAGTCTGTAACTCGTCTTTTTTATCGGAGTCATCGTTTGCATCAGCAACATTTCGTGGAGCTTCTAGTGGAGGATCATAAATGTCGAAGTTCAAATCTCATAACTGTTGCCTTCTTGTTTTGATGATGTTTAACAAACAATTTACAACTAATGTTGTTTGTCTAGTGCTTGTGTTATCCATTCATTGTAGACAAACAACTAGTCGGAGGATGGATGGAATAGCGATTCAACGACGATATCAAATGGAGGTTGGCGGAATTGTGGAGTGAAGCCTACGCAATTCAAAGTTAAAGATCAAGTTCAAGCTTCATCCGCATGTGTACCAAGTTGAGCTACAATGAAGATCAAGATCAAGATTGGGTAATCAAGTTTAGATTTTATATTATGTGTGTTAAGTACCTTAAGCTCAATATCATATACACACACGTATTTGGTTTCTATGTATATATATAGTTATATATATACATGCATGGTTTTGAGTTTTCATGCTTTGGACACACTTGCAAAATACATGAGTTTTCACAAATGTTTATAAACATTTCGTAAAGTTTCATCAAGTTTGGAATTGATTTGTTATGTTTAATGGAATTTACAAAATCATGTTTTTGTTCGTGCACATGTTCGTGCATGTTTTACAAAACAGATGAGTTTTTATAAATGGGAAGTGATATTCAAGAAATTCTTTCTTTGACATATTTATCTACATGTTTATAAACTTTTCTCAAAATTTTACTATTTTTGGAGTTGATCTACTGTGCCCAATTGATTTTACAAAATCGAGTATGTTAGCAGTTTTTCAGAAACTGTAAATGTAAATCTGTGTTCAAATATTTATATCTCTCAACTGGGAAATGATTTTTCAGAAATTCTTTCTCTAACATGTTATTCTACATGTCTAAAACCTTCCCACAAAATTTCATATTTTTTGGAGCTGTTTTACTATTTTTAATTGATTTTACAAAGTTGATACGCAGTGCTACAGTACCCGCGGTCGACCGGTACGGTTGACCGCCAAACTCTCTGGACGTTACTCACCTTTTTGTTGCTCGTGGTCGACCGCAAGATTTCCATGGTCGACCGCCGAACTGTCTTTTTACCACCAACGGCTATTTTTCTGCAGCTGTTTTTGTAGGCTTTTTGGTCATTTTGATTAGGTTTTTTTGCTGAGGTTTTGGGAGGCTATAAATACCCCCTTGCTCTCATCCTTTATAAAAAAAAAAGAGAGTGTTTTAAAACAAGTTTAAAGAGTTTTAAACAAGGGTTTAAGTTTGGTTTAAGAAGCTTTTAAGCATTTAAAAGTTTGAGTTTGAGAAATTAATTTCACAAGAGCTTGAGGAGATCATCTATTGGTGTTTGGGCATCCAACTATTCTCCTTCTACCTCTTGATCTATTGAGAAGTTTTCTAACTCTTTTCTCTAGTAATTTTATTATTGATTTTCATATTCTTATTATTGCTAGTTTGCTATTTGAGTTAGATTTAATTTTATCTCATTGTTACACACACCCAATTGAGCTTATTGTATTTACATTCATAATATATTTTGGGTTGGTGAGAGTTGTAACAATTGAGTGGGAGCTTTCATTGTGTTCTCATCCATAGTAGAGAACAAACATTTATTGCATTGAACCTTATTGTGAGATTCACTTTGTAATACACTTGTACACCGAGAGAAGTGTGTGACGAGAGTCGGGGATCGTCCCAAGAGGAGTGGCATCGGTTGACGAACCTAGGGAGAGCTTGTAACCGAGCACTTGATGGAGACACGTCTAGTTCAACACTTGAGAGGGTGTAGAGTGGGATTGCAAGGGTGGTGATTGTAAAGTTTTCGGTTAGCTAGAAAACCGAGTGTGAGGTGTAAACGTTATTCGGATGAACGTAGAAAACCCGGTTGTGATAGTGGATTTCTCCCCAAGAGTGGGGAGCGGAGACGTAGGACGGAAGGTCCGAACTCCTTTGGACCAATCTCATCATGATCGCTGAAACCAAATCAGCAAATAAATGAAATGTACACAGGAATCATCCATGGCCGCTAAACAGATGATCGATAGATGAACTATAAATATCCCAATTAATTTACTGAGCCGATTTAATAATAATAGATAATAGATATCACCATTAACCATTCAACATCTAATCATCAATGTGATCGCAAAGTTGCTTTCTAACTTATAAAAAAAACATAAATAGCCCGCATATCTTTAGCACTAACCCACCAACACTATATTCTTAACCTAAACCACTGTTGTGGAGAGAAAACTTAGATCAAACAAATAATAATAAAGTAATTTAACGTCAAAAAGCTATCAATAAAGTAATACATCTTGAAGATAATAATAAAAGATCTGATCATCACAAAAACAAAGTAAACAGAAAAATTAACGGATGATTGACTTCATTGCAGAGAAATTTTCTAGGCGGAGAAACTAACCAAGAGGGAGGGAGGCTGCGTTTCACTTTTTTCCCCAATTGTATTCTTTCCAATGTGTGGGATAATTTGAGAGAGGAGAACTTATGGTTATATATATAGGTAGTATAATTTGTGGGATAATTATGACCAATTATCCTAATTCTAATTCTAGTAGAATTCTACTTGACTAACGCACCAAAAAAATAATACAGTTCTAGTTCTACAAAAGTTCTACTTGACTAACACTATAAAAAAATATCACATTTCCTAGTTCTATGTGACTAAAACATTAAAAATTTATCCTACAAATTATCCCAGTTCCAGTTTTAAGTTCTAGATGACTAACCCCCCTAAAAGATTTGGGAAACTAATATAAAAGAGAGAGAGAGAGAGAGAGAGAGAGAGAGAGAGAGAGAGAGAGAGAGAGAGAGAGAGCGAATTATTTTACATTTGAAGTAGAATTGGAAACAAGATTTCAATTTTCATGCAGTTTTTCATTTAACAGTAGGATGATGAAATAAAAATTATTCCAATTCATGAAATTTTACATTGAAAGTAGGTGTGTGAAATAAGTTTCCCATTTTCATGTACTTCTATAATTATTTTATAAATTTAATAGTTGAAATTGCTCCACCTCTTCTTATTATTGTTTGAAAAATGTTTAAAGTTATAATAGTAAAAAAATTTCTTCTTATAATATATTTTTATAATTAATGTATATAGTATAATGACGGTTATATTTGGTCTCCCCAAAATAAAATCCTAACTTCGCCACTGTTTGAAACCATACCAATTCATCATTGCAAGAAAGATGCAACACGAAAATAGAAATGAATGAGAATAGCACACGTGCATGGGTTGGGGTTGGGGTTGGGGGGGGGGGGGGGGAAGAGAAATTAGTAAGTTGGAAGCAAATATGCTTGCTTCAATACAAAACAATCTCCTCTCTTTTAATTTTACTTCCTCAATTCCCTCATATATCTAATAGCTTACTCGTTCTCTTTCATTTCAATGCCGTTTTTAGACTTGAGAGTGAAGAAAAAAAAATCGAAAAAGACAAGAACTGGAGTCAAAGACAAGAACACCAACCCCATACAACTCTCTCTCTCTCTCTCTCTCTCTCTCTCTCTCTCTCTCTCTCTCTCGTTTCTCTCTTTAAAGTCTAAGGTCACCCTCCAAACCGTTTTCTTCTAGACCTAACAACTAACACAGACACCTCTCTCTCTCTCTCTCTCTCTCTCTCTCTCCCTCAAGAACACCAACTCTCTCTCTCTCTCTCTCTCTCTCTCTCTCTCTCTCTCTCTTCTCCAAACTCTAAGCAAGCCCACACCTGTCACCATCATCATCATCATGCACTCTCTTATGCAGTCATTTTACTCTTCCATCATTCTCTCTTATATATCCAAACCCTTCTCATTTCACTACCCTATCATTCCAATAAAAAAAAATTCCCCCTTCTTAATCTCCTCCCAAAATAAAACAACAATAATGAGGAAACCAGATCCTCCAACATCAAAAACAACCAACAATGGCAACGTCGACGGAGCCAATAAGCTAAGAAAAGGGCTTTGGTCACCGGAGGAGGATGACAAGCTCATGGCGTATATGCTTACTAACGGTCAAGGGTGCTGGAGCGACGTAGCAAGGAATGCAGGCTTGCAGAGGTGCGGAAAGAGTTGTCGCCTTCGATGGATAAATTACTTGAGGCCTGATCTCAAGAGAGGAGCTTTCTCTCAGCAAGAAGAGGAGCTTATCATTCAGTTGCATTCTATTCTTGGCAATAGGTTATTATCTCTCTATAACTCTATCATTCATTCTCTGTGTTTGGCTAGTGTAAGTGCACGTATACATCATACATTATAAGTTCTTCGCAATTGACTGATAGCTCGTTTCTCAATCGCCTGCAACTGTCTATTAGTATTTAGATTTCATTAATCAAGGTTAATCATAATTTTCTATTAGATAATACATGATGTTGATTGAAAAAGTGACCTCGATCTCTACCGTTAAAATTGAACGTATAATATTAGACCTCAATTCAGAAGGGACATAGCTTGTATATATTAAGCATCGCCATGGAAGTGCTAATGATCAGTGTTTGATTTATTGGGTTTCCATCTCTCATGTGAATCAACATGCCATACTCGTCTTTGCTTCAAAAAATCAATGAGGTTTTAAATTATTATACAGATCTTGTCGAAGCATTTAGAGCAAGTATTTCAATGCTTAATTTTATGGTATTATTTGGATTTTGAGTTGTCAGTGTCAATCTCATATATCAAACACTTCCCTCAAAGGACTCTTATATATACATTTAATGTAGTAGGAGAAAATAAGAATACAAGACACTTTAGTCTAGTACGTACTCTAGTTGCAAATATAAGGAAATCTATCTCAAAACTAATTACACTTCATGCAAATTTCATCGTCTTCTTCGTTAAAAGTTTTGGTGAACAATGCAGGTGGTCTCAAATCGCAGCACGTCTACCTGGGCGCACCGATAATGAGATAAAGAACTTCTGGAACTCCACCATCAAGAAAAGACTCAAGAACTCATCATCTCCTCCATCAAACAAAGACAACTCATCGGAGCCAAAAGAAACGGGCGAAGGCTACATGAACTCTAACGAGTACGACATGACCATGCGCATGGGCTCATCATCATCCTCCTCATCATCCATGCATGCATTTTCCATGAACAACAGCAAATATGACCTATTTCCTTTGCCGGATAATCCCTATGGTGTGTCCGAACTAGGCTCTTCGGGCTACTTCCATGTACCCACATCCTTAACACATGTTAGCTTTGGGAGTCATGAGTTCTATGCTTCAAGTCATAATCATGGTCACGCAATCATACATGAGGGAAGCCTCATGGGTGGAGATCTCTTTGTACCTCCGTTGGAGTGTACAAGTCTTGAAGAGAAGTTCCAAGTTAATAACCATACCATGAAAAACAACAAGAACAACATCAATGATATCAACAAGAATGTTATTAGTGGAAATGGAGGTGATGGAGGTGAAAATTATTGGGGGAGTGAAAGAGGTGCATGGGATTTGGGTGATTTGATGGAGGATGTCTCCTCTTTTCCTTTCCTTGATTTCCAAGTTGAATGATTGGGCGCCCTCATCCTCATGATTCTTCTCCTTAATCCCTCTTTCTACACAAAGATGTTGCAATTACAAGTTTACCCACACCCATTGTCTTTTGTTATGTGATATTGTTAGGATGTTCTATTCTTTAAAACCCTTCCAAGCTTCTTTCTTACCTCCATGCAAATTAAACACTTTCTAATAAAGGTTGGAGAGAGATATGATTGAGACATATAAAGCACCCTCTCCCAAATCATCCTTTTTCTTTTCCAGCTCTCTCCCTTGCTTCTTAAGTCAAGCAATTATAGTGAGCTCATGATGCATGTTATTATGGGGTCAAGGGGGCATTTCATTGTAATTGAAGATTGCTAATGAGTAGTCAGTTTCATGTAAAGATTGTTATCAGAGTGGTTATACAACTGTAATTAAATGTGTACAAAAGGAAGGAGTTAGATATATGCGTACGTGTCATTGGAGGAGGTACATGTAAAAGCCATTGAAGGTGAAAAAAAAAAGATACTTAAGATACTTGATTTACCCTACGTTTAGCCTCCTCTCTCTCTCTCTCTCTCTCTAGTAACAGGGATGATATTTCCATGCAATTTCCCTTTAATAATTAGAGAAAATAAATGGAGTATGTATGAAAGAAAGGAGATACGAAGAAGGGTTTGAAAATAAAACAGACTAATATAATTTTCTGAATCCAAGGCATCATGAAGTTTTATTTTAGATGTCCATTTCAATTAAGGCGATATTATCACACCAGAAGCAAGATGGTTGTACAATCAGACAATGACGTGTAGTTTCTTTCCCTCAGTCATTAATATGTTAAGAAAATAATCATTTTTGTTCCTTCACCTTTTTTATCTTTCCAAACAGGAGAATGGACTTGTGGAAGAGCTTGTTTCTTCAAATTGAGGTTGAGTATTTGTGAAAGAATCAATCCTCTAGTTGTGATATCAATTTCATATCATTTGAGTTGTTAACCATGAAAGTCCAACACCATTAGTGCAACGATAAAATGTCTTTCCTATTAACACATGGAAGATATCAACCTAATGCAATTATCATTAAAGAAAGTGGTTAGGAGTTAAAGCTGCTTTTAGTACTCTTTAAGGAAATAATCAATGGAAAAGGTTGGGATCGGATGTCATATGATATTATCTTGACAACTACTTAACGGAATATTTAACAAAGTCTTCCTATGTAACTCTTGTTCAATGGGAAATTAGGATTGGTCTATATGAGATACCATATCGAATACCTCGTCGCTGATCTAATAATAATGATGATGATGATGGAATATTTTCAGAATAGCAAGAAATTTTAAGTTTGATCTCAAAAGCGATGATCCACATCGTTCATTTAAAAAAATGTATGCACTTAATGGATTTCACCAATAAAAAGAAATGAATTAAAAGGTATTTCTAAGCCAAATCATATCAGTTTTTGATTGAATTTAGGGGCTTGAATTTATTAGTGTTTATGCAATTTCTCTTTGGTGAATAGATTAGAGAATTGATCTTAGAATACATTATTGTCACACTTTATGACAATATAGTTCAATATGTTTTTTTTTATTTTTTGTAAACCTTAAATCATAAATGATCTTGACCACACAATGCAGGTTGATTTTGTAGATATGAACAAAATTAATCCACGCGTTGCTGCGGCATTACTATGTGGAAAGATAAAAAAATAATAATAGTTTAAACGTGGAAAGAGACAAAAAATTAATAATAGTTTAAACATTTGACTATAACAAAAGACAACAACTTAGACGGTATAATGTATACCAACTGCTGAAATAAAACGTGTATTTAAAAATAATCCAATAAAATATTTCGGGCTTAAGAGTAATTTTAGAAGTGAGTGGGTTTAAGAACAAATAGTGTTTAAGAACAAATAGTGGTAAGACCTTGGATTTGAAATAGGCAAAAAGCCTAATTAGGAAGTAGATTGATAAATAAATGAGAGTAAAACATTGGGTTTGTTGGCAAAAACCATAACATTAGTGTTTCCAAGAAATAACAGTTAGGGCATCGGAATGGAGCAGATTATTGGATTGGTATAATTCCAAGCTAAAAGGGAAATGTATTACTCAAAGAATCAAGAGAATGGCTCTCTTAGAGGAGAGTCGACAATTAGCGGTTAGAGTAGTTATGCGCATGTTAGCGGGCGATCTCTCTCTTGCTAAACTGCGCTTCTACTGAGATTTCAATGGCAAAGAAGAAGAAGTTTAGCGGGGAAAAAAATCCTCAAATCTGGTCTGGGAGCTTCGATCTCATCTCAGATCGATCATGAGGAGCTTTTGGATGCTAATTCTGTTGATAGTGGCGATGGTGAAGATTCTCTTATGGGATCTACGGGTCCAAAGGGAGCAGGAAAGGCTAAATCCATGGCGGAGATTCTTGATTCTTCCTTCTCTGGGAATGATCCTTACAGTGATCAACTGCCGATTCCAATGGTGGGAACTCAATTGCTCAACAAATCTTTAATGGCGGGAATTCAAGATCGTAAACTCTATTGTTCCCCGTTGACGGGAATCCAAGATCTTAATCAATGTAAGTATTCTCCATCTTGTTTTGAAAGAAAGAGCTCTGCTAGGGTTTCTTGGGCAGAGGAGGCGGATTTGGTTGATTCCTCTGCCTCTTCCTTATCAAATTAAAGCAGTTTCCTAGTGCTAAATCTGATGCTAGATCTGTCTTGATTCCAAACTTAGCTGTTAATGAAGATACTGATATCTTGAATGTGATAAAAGATAGAGAGAATTTTAAAGAACCTGAGAAGCCTAGGGATTTAGAAAATTCTAATCCGGGAACTTCTTCAATTCCTGGAAAAAGCTGGTTAAGTTTGTTTTCAGACAATAGGAAAATGGGAAACGGCTTGGAATTGAATTTTATCCCCTCAGAGTCTAAGGATTCTGTCATGTTTAATGATGATGAATGGAATGAGGGTGAAAAAATCTGGCAATTTTCTTTGATTGGGCAAGTCTTGGGCATGAATATCAGATTAAAGGCTATGGAGGGCTTTATTAAGAAAGTTTGGAAGCATTCCCCTGAAATCTGTTTGCTAAGGGCTGGGATTTTTCTATTCAAGTTCAAAAGTGAGAATGAAATGAATGATGCAATAAGCAATTGTCCATGGTTTTTTGGATCAAGACCCTTGCTCTTGAAACCATGGGCAGTGAATGAGGAATTCCATAAATCTGATGACTGCATCTACCCTTTATGGATCCAACTACCAGAGCTGAAATTAAACCTATGGAATTCTAAATATATCAGTAAAATTGCAAGCATCATAGGAAAGCCTGTTGCCACTGATAAATTGACTGCTACTAAGCAAAGATTGACCTATGCTAGAGTTCTTGTGGAGGTTAAAATGTCTTCAGTCCTTCCAGATCAGATAACTGTTCAAGGTCCTAATGGAAAATCTTATAATCAGAAGATTCACTATGAATTCAAACCTAGATGGTGTGATATGTGCAAAGTTGTAGGACATGATACAAGCCATTGCAAAAAAATAACCAGAGTTCAAAAATGGATCCCTAAACAAAAAGTATTCCCTGGTGGAAACAGAAATGACAATGGAATTTCAACTACTAGTAATATCAATGGTGGTTCTGTTGGAAAGGTACAAGTTCCTCAGGAACAGATTGTACATGAGCAAAGGACAGAGGGTAAGGTGTCTTTACAGCAAGGGGAAAAACTTTGCAATGATCAAATGCCTGTGCATGTTTTACACAGGAAAAGCATTCCAGTTTATGATATGGGTTTTTCACACCAATCTGGTGATCAAGGGGAGTGCTTACAGGTAGTACACTGTCATGGTACTGAAGAAAAGGGGTTATCACAACTGGAGGAAATTCCGTCATGGTACTGAAGAAAAGGGGTTATCACAACTGGAGGAAATTCCTGGCAATAATCTCAAGTCTGTGCATGTTTTTCACAGGAAAAACAATGACACCAACTGGAGGAAATTCCTGGCAATAATCTCAAGTCTGTGCATGTTTTTCACAGGAAAAACAATGACACCTTAATTCATAAACCGGTTGATCAAATGGAGTGTTTGATAGATGTTAATACTCAGAGAATAGATTTATATAAAGGAAAGGGGATTTTACTTGAAGAGAACTTTGGCAGGCCTGTGCATGTTGTGCACAACCAATTGCCAGAATCTGCTACAGAGGGGTATAATCCCTGGATATCAGCTAGAAGAAACAAGTCCTTTTCTCAAGGTAAATCTCAGATAGAAGGCTGTGCTCACACAAATGATAACAATAGTCCTAGCAAAATGATTTCTGGGAATCCTTTTCTATCCTTGGATAGATTGGAACTTGATCCCTCTACAATTGATAGGGGGAATCTGTTAAAATGAATATTTCCTTTTGGAATGTGAGAGGGTTAAATAAACCCTCAAAGCATTTGATGGTGAAGCATCACATGAGAAATTACCATCTATCTTTTATGGCTCTGCTTGAAATTAAAATTAAGGGTTCCTTACTGCCTAAGGTTACTAAGAAAATAGCAAATAACTGGGGATGGATGTCAAATGTCAGTCCCCCAGGAAAAGCAAGAATCCTCATATTGTGGGATACAAATGTTCTGGACATTCAAATTATTGTATCCTCTGATCAACATATATCCTGCTCGGTGAAATCTGTGGATGGAAAGCTTGACTGTGTCATTTCTTCAATTTATGGTCACAATCAAATGGATGCCAGGAAGGAGTTATGGTCTGACCTGATCAATGTTCAACAAAACATGGGAAATCTACCTTGGATTATTTTAGGAGATTTTAATGCTATGCTAAGCAATGAAGAAAAATTAGGAGGCAATGCTTTATCTGATTCTGATACATCAGACTTTGACAGTTTCATTAATGGGTGTTTTCTTTCCCATTTGAAAACAATAGGATGTTACTATACCTGGAATAATAAACAAGGGACACACTCAAGAGTGTGGTGCAAATTGGATAGGGCACTGATTAATGATACTTGGATTAGCAAGTATAATGCCAGCCAAATTGAATTTCTCCTTCCAAGCTTATCTGACCACTCTCCAGGCCTTGTGTCTGTTTTTGAGAATAATACAAAAGGGAGGAAGCCATTTAAATTTTTTAAAATGTGGTCCAATCATCCTAGTTTCCTGGATACAGTTTCAAAAGCTTGGCAGTTAACCTTTGAGGGATACTCTATGTATTCTTTATATTCAAAAATCAAGCTTCTGAAGGTTTCTCTCAAAGACCTTGGTTTGTGGAAAATTTGTAGTAAAAAGACAATGAAGGAAAATTTGATTTGTATTCCTTTAATCTCAGTTACAATTGGATTTCCTGATTATAAAAGAGAAGAGAATGATCTGGATTCTCCCCTTTGTTTAATTCTGGGTTCTTCACGGTGGCGATGAGATGCCTCCCTCGAATGCTCGCGTCGAGTTTGCTTCTCGTTGACGATCCGACGTCTTGTTTCACTGGAACATGATCTTCTCCTCACGATTTGACG